TGGTTCTGTCTCTATAGTTAACTTACTGATTTGAATGTTATTATAATGAAAAAACTGTTTACTTTTACAGTGTTTAAACTATTTGGCAAGCTTTTAATGCGTCACTTAAATAAGTAATAAATCTAATTGGATTAGCCAGAAATGTTAGTAAGCTTTTAATTTAAATTTATATATGGTAAAATGAGATTGTTTTTTGTGCTGGTCCTGGGGCCTGGGTATTTGCTCAAGGCTAATGCTCTACTGCTTGAGGTACAACTCTACTTCTAACTTCTGTTTTTTGTGTTTGTTTTTTTAAAGTTTTGGTGCTCAATTGGAGATAAGAGTCCTGTGGATTTTCCTGGCTAGGTTGGCTTCAACCCATGATCCTCAAATCTCAGACTTCTAAGTAGCTAGGATGACAAGTAAGCATCACTGGCACCTTGCTAAAATGAGATGTTTTAAAGAACTTACATATTTTTATCTATTTTTATCTTTTTTGTACAGGTGTGTGCTGGTACCAGGGCTTGAATTCAAGGCCTAGGTGCTGTCATTTAGCTGTTTCACTCAAGGCTGGTGTTGTACCACTTGAGTAAGAGCTCCACTTTGGGATTTGTTTGGTGGTAAGAGTATCATGGACTTTTCTGCCCAGGCTGGTTTTGAACTGCAGTCCTCAGATCTCAGCCTCCTGAATAGGTAGTATTACACGCATAAAACACCAGTATGTGAGAAACTTTATAGTTCTTATGTCTAATGGATTTCAGGTATTTTAATAGTTATGCTTCAGAGAGAATAATATGTTGTGGAATGTTTGGAAGAAAATATGTACTGAGAGAGAGAGAGAGAGAGAGAGAGAGAGAGAGAGAGAGAGAGAGAGAAGGAGAGGGAGAGTGTTGGAACAGATAATGTTAACCAGCATGGACTGTTTCAGTTTTCTTTTCTAGATGGCTCTCCCAGGTTGTATTGCAAGACATGTGGAAAGTGCTGCAGAGTTTGATCCTGGAAATAGAGGAAAAGTGGCTGATGAGGTGTGGATATTCAACTAAATAGGGAAAGTTGATTATTTTGAGAAAGGTGAGGAATTTATATCAAGATGAAATTACACTCCTAGGACTATAACACCATAGAACTCCAAGAACAGGCATATAAGCTTTAGTATTGATCATAATCATGTGTTTTCTATACAACACAGCTTGAATTTTTTGTAAAACATAGATAATGTATATTGTTGGCTTTAATGTCTATAGGAAGATATTATACTACACATTTAAAAATGTCTTCTGGGCATAATAAGCTTAATCAGCTTTCATTTTAGGACTTGTATTTAAGGCAAAGAAAAATAGAATTCACTTTTTATTTCACTGAACTTGTATTCAACAATCTTTTTTACCATTAGTAGCACATACGTGAAAGAAGGAAAAGATGATTTGAAAGAACTACAGCTTGTCAAACCCAATTGGAGAAACTATAAGGAGGAAAGTTACAGGAAGATTATTAAAATCTTTAAAGATCTTTCAAGAATTATGCTCTGGCTCATAAAAGTAGTAATTTGGTTCATAAAAGCCTGGTGGTTTGCTGATTTTAGGAAAACATTTGTCAGTTTTATCTTCAGGAAGAAGGTTGGGAAAAGGGACATTTTACTTTAATTTCATATTGTTCTCTCTCTAGATATGAGAATTTGGGGCGCATTGAGCAATTCCTTCTTAAACAACAAGTAAAAGAAATGGTATTTCTTAGGAATACCTATGCAGTTTACTGTTTTAGAAACATTAAAGAAATAATACTCACTAATAAAGCTCAATTTTGAAATAGAAAATACACTGAAGTCATGATCACCAAAATCATCTTTGGATATCCAAGTGATAAACAGATAACCTTATAATTACCAGGCCATTCTTGAAGTTTTAATAATATAATTACTTTGATGTCTATATAGTTCAAGACCCAGAAGGGTACTCTCATTTTCCTTAAAGATAGCACTCTACCACTTGAACCACAGCTTCACTTCCAGCTTTTTTTCATGTTCTTAATTGGAGATGAGTCTTAAGGAATTTCCTGCCTGTGTTTGTCTTACGTATATCACTGTTGCATTGGTTCCTTCCTTGTCCTTTGTCTCACTATTCTGTTGTTCTCCTTCCCTTCTCCAATTCAAATAAATGTATATACAATACCAGGGTACCAAAATCAAATACAGTGACAATAGGGGATATACTGTAGTGGGAAGAATATAAAAAATCATGTAGTACATTAAAAACAACAACAACAAAGAGAAACCTCTTGTGTCCATGTCTTGGAGTTCATTTTGCTTGACATCATCTTATATGGTCATATGTACATAGCTATCGAGATATTCTGCTCATCTGCTAAGATTATCCTAGATGTATACTAACTATTGCAAATAAGGGAAACCATGAGACAGACCTATGTTTCTTTGAGTCTGGCATACTTCACTTAATATGATTTTTTCCAAGTCTTTCCATTTCCTTACAAATGGGGTGGTGTAATTCTTTCTGATGGAAGCATAGAATTCATATATATATATATATATAATTCATATATATCACATTTTCTTGATCTGTTCATCTACTGAGGGGGATCTGGGTTGGTTCCCTATCTTAGCTATGGTGAATAAGGATAGTAGGAGAAAAACAAATGAGGGAGTAACAATGCTCAACAAGAAATGTACTCAATTACCTTACTCATGTAACTGTGTACAGCATCTTTACAATAAAAGAAAATTTATATAAAAATACACATAGTTGTGCTGGTAGCTTTAGTATGGCCTTGTTTGTGATCATTTGGGTAAATGCCTAGAAGTGGGATTGCTGGGTTATAGGAGAGCTCTATATGTAGGAACTTCTTTTGAGGAACCTCCATACTGCTTTCCAGAATGGTTGAACAAGTTTACCCTCCCACCAACAATGCAGTAAGGTTCCCTTTTGGCCACATCCCCTCCAGCATCCGTTGTTATTAGAATTCTTGATTATAGCCATTCTCAGTAGGTTGAGGTGGAATCTCAGTGTTGTTTTGAGTTGCATTTCTTTTATGGCTAGAGGAGTTGAGCATTTCTTCAAGTGTCTATTAGCCATTCTTATTTCCTCTTTAGAGAAGTCTCTCTTTAAATTTTTAGCCCACTTATTAATCAGGCAGTTGTTTCTTTGAGGACTTCTTTTTGGGGGATTTAATTTTTGTGTTCTAAGTATATTTTAGATATGAGACCTTTGTCTGTTGTATGGCTAGTGAAGATCTTCTCCTATTCTATGGGTTTTCTATTGATCTTGCTCGCTATGTCCCTTGTCTTGCAGAAGCTCTGCAGTTTAATGCAATCCCATTGGTCTATATTTTATTAAGTATTTTAGCTCCTATAAAATGAAATACACAGGTATATTTTGATTACAGCCATTTACATTTACACATTCTATAACTGCAATGCAAAAACTAACTCATTAAGCTTGATAAGCATAGTCGTATTTTTTAAAATCTCAACCAATTTCAACTTTTATGTTCCTGAGAAACTGACTCAGTAGTGTTTGGGGAATGAAATATTAACCAAGCATTGAGGATGTGGTACTTGAATCATCTCAACAGACATAAACAAGAATCCTTGCTTTAACCACTCATCAGCAGAAATTTGCTGTTGATTGGCCATAACCACATATCATTTCATATGCTGGTACTGGATGTTTTCTTTTTCATTTTTGTTTCTGGTTTTAATCTCACAGTTTAGACCAGCTGGCCTAGAACTTATTTTCTCCTACTCCAGCCTCTAAATTGCTGAGATTACAGGCTTATGCCATACCTGGTTTTGGTATGTGGTCTTTTATACCTTTTGGTGTCTGAGTCCTAAGGCTTGAACTCAAGGCCTGGGCACTCTCCCTAGAACTTTTTTGTTTAAGTGTAGTGCTCTGCCAGTTGAACTGCAGCTCCACTTCTTGCTTTTTGGTGGTTAACTGTAGATAAAAATCTCATGGACTTTCCTGCCCAGGCTGGTGCTGAACCTCTATTCTTAGATCTCAGCTTCGTGAGTAGTTAAGATTACAGGCATGAGCCACCTTAATGCAGCTCTCTTATACATTTTTATACTTTGATGCTTTTATACTTTTATACTTTGAGAGCTCCCAGGCCTGGGAGCCCTCCTTGAGCTTTCTGTGCTTAAGACTAGCACTGTACCACTTGAGGCCCAGTTCTACTTCCAACACTGTGATATTTATTCATTTTAATAAATTTTTATTGTGAAAATACTGTACAGAGGGGTTACAGTTACATTAGCAAGGTAATGAGTACATTTTTTATCAAGCATTATTGCCTCCTCCTTTGTTTTTCCCCTACCATCCCTTCCCTCCCATCTCCAAAACTACACACTCCAACCCCCTGTCCCCCCCCCTGTCTAAATTGTAAAGTTCATTTTTTGACATAGTGTCTTGTACATCTTATTGTTACAATGGGTCAACCTGTATCCTTATTTAAATATTTTGTTTTTTCCCTTCCCCTCCCCAAATTATACCAACCTCAAATACTGTGAAAACAGGAGTTATGAAGATCAGAGTCTCACTTTTTGCTCTGGCTGGCTTCAAGCTGCAAAGACCCACTCCATCATAACCCATCATACTTTGCCACCCATGTTGTTTATAAAGGGAAAGTTAATTTGGTATTTTCCAGGGGACCATGATTTCCCTTCCTCTCACACTGACTGGAATTTCCAATTCAGGATAGCGCATAGATGTGGAGCAACTCTTGGATATCATGGGAGCCTATGCTTTCATTTTTATTTTTTTTCCTTTTTTGTATGTTTTTTATTAAAATTTTTCTTTTCCCTCCCTTCCCCCTGCTTTCATTTGTAATAGGAGAGCGATTTTCACACACAAGAAGAAACTGATGTTGCTCAGAAAGAAAGGCATTTATTGCCAACATTAGGCTCATAGAAGAACTAGTGAATATGTCACCAATATGCCACAATAATGATTGCCTGACCTGGTGGCCTAGGGAAAGCCTAGTGGTCTTGGAATAGTCCCAATTTGGTTCTTCTAGAGTCTGTTGTGCCGGGTATACTTGTCAAACAGGTACTCAGTTAAGGTGTCTTCTATGGACCAGATATCTCGCATGTTGGTAAGAAAATGATGGAGCTTGAACAGGGTTTCCAGTTGTTGGCTCAGAAAATGATCTTTCAGGAAATGTGCTAGTTGCAGTTCTCCCTTGTTGATGGCTAGTTCATACAAATCCAGGAGGCTCTCTGTGATGATGACTTCTAAGTGAAAGGCATATTCTAATGTCTGGAAGGCACCCTGCCAGTCGTCTTGGTCAGGCTTGGTGATATCTCTCAGCGTGATGCGGCTTCCATGGTCGTTTTGCATTTGCAGGAGCATTTCGGCACTCATTTTCCATTCATTTGATCGGCTCAAGAAGAAAGATGTAAAGTGTTGCAGAGCTACATCCGCACGGCCGCAGTAGAACGCCATGGACAGATATATGTAAGATGCATATATCTGTAATTGGATCTGATTATTAACTCCTGTCTGGCAATCAGGATGATATCTGTGAAACATTGGTGTGGTGGTTGCCATGGCGGGTGGCAACCAAACACAAAAGAAGTGATAAGGAAAAGACCAATAGGAAGCAAAGGGCGCAGTAATGCTGCCCAGCAGACACTAGAGGCACTGGCGGTGCCTAAGCCCTCGTGATGGCCTTAATTTGGGCCAACACGAGGCTTTGGGTGTCGAGCTCCCCTACAAGAGAGACCAAAAGCTGGTCTGAAGTGAGTCTGTAGGAATCTATAAGGAATCACACGTCACTGAGACGTCACTGAGACAATCGCCCATTGAGACATCACAGGAAGTAGCACATTGCTTAGTGAAAAGTGGGCATCCATAGCCTTATGGAAGATAATTGAATGGCATTCAGGGAATCATCAGATCAGGGTTGGGGGAGGAGCGCTGAGTTTCTAAAGGACCATTTGACCTGTATATCCTTAAACACAGTTTATGAATAAAGCATAAACTTTTTGAGATGATCATGTTGATGGTTTCATTAAGCAAGTTATTCATATATTCCCCGTATGTGATTACTTTATTTAATACTGTCTTTTGGGGGTATCATTAGTTAATACCAAAATGCTGCTACTCTCATTCTTAGCTTCCATGACTATGCTAATAATACTCCTGAATGGGAGTGATGTCAGTCTCAGAATTGTAGGCAGTGTGGTCTCATAGGTTCAGAAGGCAGGAAGAATAGACAGAGACTGCTCAACACTACCACAGGTTTATTATGGAGAAAAATTTGAAGAGGAAAGCCTGCAGCCAAAGTTTGAAGATTCCCTACCACATACAAGCGAGGATATATCATACTGGTCAAGGGAATTATTCAAGAGTTCTCTTGCAGGGGTTGGTATGTAAGTAAGAAATGGTGAGATATAGATAATGTATGAAATGGGCCACGGTCATAGAAAGGGAGAAAAACAAGGCAAGAATGTCTGTTTAAACTCTAGTGTATTCAAAGCAGCTGGAAATCCTTGTCTGGCACCAGACACATGGGTTACAGAATGTCAAGAACAGGATAAGGCCAAAGTGTTCATAAATCAAGGCACTGGTCTGGATTTTGAAGATAAGAAGGGACACTTGGCTAGTTGCACCTAAGAAGTTCCATCAGTGTCTGTCCTGTGTGACTTTGCATGGGTCATTACTGATTTTTTTTAATTTTGCAAAAAATGTTAGCTTGCAAGCAATTTCTCATTTCTTCTATTGTTCCTTCTATTGCCTGTCTTCATTTTATGAACTTACTGTCTTCCTTGTTGATTGTGGCAATATGAATTTGAATTTTTTGGAAAACTTCTTATATATTTATGTGTTTTGGTCTCTTTTTATTTTTTTGGTCCTTTTTGCCCATCCTGGGGCTTGAACGCAGTGTCTGGGTGCTGGTAGGCTACTGCTCTACAACTTGAGCCACAACACCACTTCCAGCTTTTCCTGAGTAGGTTAATGGAGATAAAAGCCTCACAGACTTTCCTGTGCAGGCTGACTTCAAACCATGATCCTCTGAGCTCTGCCTTCTGAGTAGCTAGGATTGTAGGTGTGAGCCACAGGTGCCTGGCAAGTGTTTTGTTCTTTCATAGTTGGTTCTATTCATTGACCATGATTTCCTTTTCATGGAGCTTCACTAGTAGACTTCTGTGAGTTAGAGGAGAATATGTGTAAATTAGGAATGAGATATACATGACATGGAATTTGCATATGGGATGGAGATTGTCCCACTTGCTTATACTTAAGCATATCTGACAGTTGGAAGTAAGTCTCTCTCTCCTAGACAATATGTGCTTAGGTTTTATAATTCCCATGTACAGTTTTTGCAGTTGTCTCCACTTCTGCTGTAATATTGGATATTTTTTATATTATGTATTTTTGCCAGCCCTAGGGCTTGAACTCAGGGCCTGGGCACTGTCCTTGAGCTTATTTTACTCAAGGCTAGTGCTATACCACTTGAGCCACAGTATCATTTCCAACTTTTTATTTTGGTTTATGTGGTACTGAGGAAACAAACCCAGGGCTTCAATGCATGCTAGGCAAGCACTCTACCACTATTCCACATTCCCGGACACTTAGCTATTTTCTTGATTGAATGATCCATTGTCTTTGAAATGTAGCTTTTAGGGAGGAAAGGGATTCCAACACCACTGACTAGTGCTTACTGCCTACTTCAAGCAGGACTGGGTCAGGGTCATAGCAAGGAAGGGGCAGGCAAATCACCTGTTTGGAAACATGAGCCCGGCCCTTTTTTTTACATTCATATTTTAGTTGATATTATGAATGCAGACATATACATAAAAAAGCAGGTAAAATTTTGCCAAATTTTATGTAGGCAGAGACACAGTTAAGTAGTTAAAAACCACAGTTTGTCTTAGCTTTTTACATAGTTATGCATGGATGACTGCCTATTTTAATTCTGTATATGATACAGTGTTTTTCATTTTGTTATTTTTTATTGTTATAAAGGTGATGTACAGAGGGGTTCTTTTTGGACAATGTCAGCCCCAGGCCCTTTTGCAGTTCTTCAATTTTAAGTGTTTTTATTTTCTGTTTTAGCTGTTTCAAGTTTTGGAGTATAGAAATGTAACAGCAACCAGGTGGCAATGGCTCATGCCTGTAATCATAGCTCCTCAGGAGACTGTGAGCTGAGGTTTATAGTTTGAAGCCAGCCCAGGCAGGAAAGTCCGTGAGACTCAGATCCAATTAACCAAAACCCTGAATTGGTGCTATGGCTCTCAGTGATAGAGCAATAGTCTTGAGTAAAAAAAGCTCAGGGACAGTGCCCAGGCCCTGAGTTCAAGCTCAATGACTAACAAACAAAAAAGAAAAGAATAAAAGAAATTTAACAACATTTTCCTCTTTTCTAAGAACTCTTCATAGATTTTTGTCTGATAATAGTATCCCTTCATATGTGTGCCATTAATGTGTATAGATATTTTTGTACTTAGTCACTACCCTGACTCCATTCCATATTTTAAATTTCTAAAAGTGTAAATAATTTTCTGAATGGGTAATATATTTATTTTTCAAAAATCATATGTCTGGGCTGGAAAAGTGGCTCAGTGGTAGAGTGCTTGCTTTGCAAGCATGAGGCCCTGGGTTCGATTCCTCAGCACCACATAAGCAGAAAAAGCCAGAAGTGGCGCTGTGGCTCAAGTGATAGAGTGCTAGCCTTGAGCTGAAGAGCTGAGGCCCCAGAGTTCAGGGTCCACAACTGGCAAAAAAAAGAAAAAAAGCATATGGCTTTCTTTTGTGTAGGCAAATGGTAATTATAATCACAAAAAGAAATAACAGGAAAATAATATAATAATACATTTAAATGATAAAGAATTCTCTAGAACGCAAAAATTTTACAAGTGCCCAAATAGCCTATATTCTCAGCCATAACTGAGCAAAGACAGAGATTGAGGCCCTATCTCAGAAGCAAAAGGAAGAGCATTATATTTTTTTAATTTTATTTTATTTGTGAACATACTGTACAGAGGGGTTACAATTGCATGGAAGAGCATTATATTAAATGAAATAATCTGGACAAATATTACCTAGATCTCAAAATAAAAAAGAATAAAGTTACATGAATGTAAAAAGGAACTATCTTGAGGGGATACCTGTAAGAATGATAAAGGTGAAAGGAGAGGATAATGAGAGTTATGCATATGATTGAAATATAGAATATGCCTACAGGAAAATAGATTATATTGGAGGTTTGGCATTGTCTATATATGTGATCATGTGGAAGCAGTAACAATTTGACTTCTTTTCAAATAGTAGGGGAATAACAAAGGAGATGGTAACAATGCTCAATAGGAAATGTACTCATTAAATTACTCAGGTAACTGTAACCCCTCTGTACAGTATTTTTACAATAAAAATATATATTAAAATCAAAATGCTCTTATTTTCCCATGGCTTATTAGCTTTGGCTAAGACATCAAATACTGTGTTGAATAAAACTTGCAAATTCAGTGGTGGTGGTGGCTCATGTCTGTAATCCTAGTTTCTCAAGAGGCTGAGATATGGGAATTGTAGTTCAAAGACAGCCTGAGCAAGAAAGTGTGTGAGATTCTTATCTTCAATAAACTACCAAAATGCTGGATGTGGAACTGTGGCCCAGGTTGGTAGATTGCTCATTTGAGCAAAAAAAGCTCAGAGACAGAACCTAGGCTCAAGCTCCAGGATGGTGCCTATGCATGCGAATGCATTCTGTCTCTGTCTGTCTCTGTCTGTCTGTCTGTCTGTCTGTCTGTCTGTCTGTCTCTCTCTCTTTCTCTCTCTCTCTCTCTCTCTCTCTCACACACACACACACACACACACAACATTGCAAAAGTAGGTATCTTGTTTCATTCTAGGTCTATGAGAAAAAGTTTTTAGATTCAATGTTATGTTAGATATTGACTTATTTTAAATGTCCTTTATTATGTTAAACTATGTTCCTTATTTTTTATCTTTGAACATATCTTATAAAATTGCTGCAAGTAAACAAGCTTAGTAAATGTCATATTCTCAGAAGCTCTTGCCCATACCCTTGACAATATTAACCTATTGAGGATATCATTAGCTCATTAACAATGCCATTATCATGCTGGGTGGTTTATAATAGCTAAACTCCACACATGATGGATTTTCCAAGAAAATCTTGGCTCACCCCTGTTATACACAGGTGATCATTTTTATGATTACACTATGTGACAGAACATCTTTTCTTTTAAAAAATTGAAAATGGTATTATTAAGGCCATTCATTTTTGCAATATTGAGGTTTGTGAACTTATGACCTCAGGCTTGGTAGGCAGGTTGGTAGGTGCCTTACTACGTGAGCCATGGCTAAAGCTGTGTCCATTTTTCATATTTATTTGTATACATTATTTGTACAGAAGGGTTTTATTGTCAAATTTGTTCATATTCATAAAGTCAAATTTACCATCTCTCATGCCTGCTGCTCCTCAAAACAGTTTCAACAGTTTTTGCTTTTATTTTCTTTTAAAGTTTTTGTGTGTGAAAAATTTTATATTCTACTTTTTTCTTTTCAGTTATATAATTATAAAA